TGCAAGAAACAAACAACAAACAACAAAAATGACGTAATAAAAGTTCCAGATTTAGCTTTGAAAGATCATTACGAGTCTAATATGTGGTTTTGCTCCTTTTTTCAATCATCTTCCTAATAACGCAGGACTGTTATTAATAGCAATCGAAGCTCAAATTTCTTAATCTCCTCATCGTTTAAAGAACTTGCTTTGAGATCATCGGTAAACGAACAAAACTAGTTCACTGTCTCTGTTAATTTGTCCACTTCTTTTTACCTTACGTCACCTTCTGTTTTTTCCCCAACTTCATGATGTTTTATTGAAATGTCCCTCCATCGGGAGATAGACACAGGTCAATAATGATCTGAAAATGTCAGTATTTCGAGGTAAATACGAATCGGGAATCGTGGCCATAATTCGAATACGCCATTAGTGGTATTTAAACACGCGCAGTAGATGATCCGCGCTCTCAATCATGATGACGGAGAGGGGGCTTATCAGTCGCTTTTCTCTTGTTCTTTTTTCCTCGGGTGCCACATAATAGATATTTGAAGTCAAGCAGAACAAGGACAAGTATTCATGGACTTCTGAAAATGTTGATTGTGACTTTTAAATAACGAGGAATTAGAAGAGCATTCGGGGTTCAGGTTCAACCTCATCCATCATCTTATTATTCTATATACCCACATTATATGTCAGTATGCGGTATACATAAGGGTGCAGGAGTGATTTTTGTACTTGAGGTCAATGTATGAAGGTATTCGTTTTGCGACTCATTCTTTAAATCTTCCCCCTTGAGGTTTTATCTTTTTATATTGTAACATTTTCTCTGTATTGAGAAAAAAATCATAAATTTTAATTTTCACTCGAGAATTTTTTTAATCATACATGCACTGTAAATATATATTTAAGAAAAATCTATTCTGTCACCAATAACGAAAAAAATGAAAGTTTATGAAATTGTATGTACAGAGTAGAAATTTTACTTGGAGAGGACCTCGCAAAATACGTCACAGAGTAGCCAAAAAATCAGAACTTTCTTATTTTAATCGGAATTCGCGCAAACTTTCATTGACCTCTCTTTTTTCTGTTTCTATTAAAACCAACTTAATATCAGGATAGATTTCCAATATTTAGATAGGTTACTTTAATAAGAATCGAAGGTGATTATTGTATTAGTATAGGGAGAGGAAAAAAGAAAATAAAACACCGCTGCCGATTTCACAAGTTTTGCCTTGGCACATTAGTTTTGTGACGCGCGATTTGTTTTATCGAGTTACATGCATGTTCCTTGAAAGATTTAGCTTCTGTATACAGAGAGATCCGGATGCATTTAGCCGTCTAGTTCGGCTTTAGTAATGGCTCTCCGAATGATCTTTTCTTCGCACAGATTTGAGATAATTACCTCGTACCTAGAAAGACGGTGGAGAAAAGGAGCAAAATAAAAGAGGGGATATACATAATGGTTGATAGATGGAGGAAAGGGGGAAGCAAAGGGATAGCTAAAAAGTGAAGATGAAATAGACGAAATCATGAATTGAGAGAAGGTGAAAGATGATTCGATGCATTTTAGATTTGGGTACAGGAGACAAAAACGTAGTTTAAAAAACCAACAATAATTATTGGAAATAGAAAAATATACAACACGTCAATTAATTGCGCTCATTGTTAAATTATTACGCAATATTTCACCACACACAGTTCACTTTCCCTTATAACTGTCTTTGAGAAATCAATCACAGACCATTAGCTTTATTTCAACTCTTCATTGCAATATTATGCCTAAATTGTATTAATTTCGAATATTTCGTCTGATATTTGTGATTTCATTAAATCACAATACCCCCATTTAGCGGCAACATTATCAACCAACGTAATACCACAGATTATGGAATTGCGCACTCTGTATTGCGATTTGCTACACGCTGATTGGTCAATTAAAGTACCTTATTGGTACAGCGCTCAGCCAATCAACTGGTTCGCTTGGTCCAGCAAGCAGGCGCCACGCACAAGTTCTACGTTGACCCTGATTTCAGCTGGCAACCGACGGCTGTGCGACCTTTATTCCATGTGTGTGTATCATTGCTGCCTGCCATTGATTATAGAACGTGCACTCATAATAGTAATGCTCATTGCCATAAGTGCAATATGACAGTAATCAATTAAAAGGAGCATATCACTTGCTAAATTAAACAATAACCAAGGTCTAGGTCGCTTTGGTTAGGCATCACCAGATTAAAAAGACTTTGGCAATGTTTTCACAGGTGATAGAACATGGATTAATCTCTTGGCAATCAAACATCCATGAAATATAATCCATCTAACGTTAATATTGTCTGTTGCTGATTTCCTTTTCAGATAATGATCATCGTTCGAGGAAATCGAAATTAATCCAGCTTTCCTTTTTTGTTTTAACACCTCTCTTAAGTCCATTAACTCGACTTGTACCTGGGATGTAGGGGTAGGGGCAGCTGAGATAATGGAAGCGGTTTCATATCTGGTGATGTAGACTTGAAGCGACATGGCGACCTGGATGACAGAAAGTGAGAAGGGAAGAGGGAGAGAAAGGGAGAGAGAGAGAGAGAGAGAGAGAGATTATAGTGCAATGTGAGGATGAGGTCAGTGAGCGGTTAGCTATCACCGATATGAAATTATTTTGAGTTCTCTCTCTCTCTCTCCCCCTCTCTCTCTCTCTCTCTCTCTCTCCTCTTTCTCTATCCCTTTCTATCTTCTGTCTCATCTTCTCTCTTCTCTATTCTCGCTCCCCCATTCTCTCTTTAGTCTCTTCTCTTTCTGTTATCTGCTATTTTTCGACTCTCGCATCATTTCTCTTTCTTCTTCTCTCTCTCTCTCTCTCTCACCGTATATGTCTCTCCGTTATTGTCGCTTATCATTTACCTTATACTCATGTCACCCATGCCAACAATCTCTATTTCCAATTTCTCTCCCTCTCCCTCTTTTATCGCCCTGTCCCTTTCACCTATCTCCCTTTGTCATCCTTTTCCCACATACCTTTTTTCTTTCTTTATTCCCCCTTTATCTTCTTCTACCGCATCCCGCTTCCCTATCATCTATAGGGTATGTTCTTATCTTTCTCGTTTGCCGTACCATTTTCTCTTTCTCTCTTTCTCTCCCTGTTTTGTATCAATAGCTCGATCTCAATCCACTCGTCTTCCTCTCCCATTCTTTATCTCTCTCTCTCTCTCCCTCTTTCTGTCTGTCTGTCTCCCTCTGCCTCTCTCTTTCTTTCCTTAATTGTCTTTACTCCCCATCCTATCCAGCTATCTCTCTTTCCTCAGCTCTTTTTTCTCCTCCTCCTCATATCTCTCGCTCTCTCTCACTCTCTCTTTCAACCTCCACATCTTCCTCCTCAGCTCTCAACTCCCTCTTCAGTTCTCTTTCTCCTGTTCCTTCTTATTAGCTCTCTTTCTCTCAACTTTCTTCCCTCGGTTTTGTGTCTCTCTCTCCCCCCCTCCCCCCCCCCCCCCCTCTCTCTCTCTCTCTCTCTCTCTCTCTCTCTCTCTCTCTCTCTCTCTTTCTCTCTTCTCTCTCTCTCTCTCTCTCTCTTTCTTTCTCCTTGTCCTCCTCAGCTCTCCATCTATCCCACTCACCCTCCATCCTCATCTCTTGATCGCACTCTAAGTGCACCCCATCGCTCAAATTGTAGACAATCATGCTCGCAATGGACGTCCAGTGGAGCATGGTGCCAACCAGCTATCCTACCAACCGTGTATGACTGCTTGAAACTTTGACAAGTCTGGACATCGAAAAGAAAAATCATTATAAAAGCTCGGAGTTGAACTCAAGTGAAATCTTGAATCCGGTTGCCCAATGTTTCCCGAAGCAGAATTGAATTACTACGTGATATAAAAAAAAATATATATTACTCATGGTACTCGGACGACCATTGGACGGAATTTATCCATCCTACCCCACATACAAATTCTGATTTTCTTTCGAATTGAACAGTGTTGAAGGGGAATTAATCTAAAACAAACTGTAAGGAAATAATCCGTTTCCTATGATTTTTAGGATCACCACCCTTTAAACATCAACGTTCATGGGGTCTCTAACTCATTTCAAGCTTTACTGGTGTCATGCATTGTCGCGTACAATCAGACTAACCGGAAACCGTCAAAAGTCAAAATTCTGAAGTTCGTAAATATGACTTTTTAAATTCGAAAAGCTTACCCTTTTTGCGCTGAAGTTCGAAAAGTTATCTTCGCTTATGCTTAACCTTAAGTTTAAAATATTAACTTCTCTTGTTCAAGTTCTAAAAGTTGACTTACCTCACGCATAAATTCGAAAAGCTAAATTATCTTTCGTTTGATTTCGAAAATCTGACATTTCACTTAGTTTAACTTGACAGAGCTGACTTATCTCTCTTTTAAATTCGAAACGCTGACTCATTTATTATCTTTTACTTCAAAAATAAATGTTTATCTCGCGTTTAAATTCTTGAGTTGAATTCTCTCGCGTTTAAACTCGAAAAGCTCACTTGTCTCGCTTTTAAGTATCTCGCATTCGAAAAGCTGACTACTCTTGAGACGATCATCTCAAGCCCGCGACATACGCACAGCTGGCGCATCAGCTGATAACTCGTCGTGCTTAGATTGTTTGCTACCGTACGTTCGCCTCATTTCTCAACCCTCAGAGAGAGCGCGCCAAAAGTGTGTCATTCATCGTGTCGTCTGTTTATTGCTAGCCTCCGACATTTGATGAGCTCCACTGTGTGTGCATTGGAACCTTAAGTGTATCGTTTGGACAGCGCGGGGAACATCCAGCATTTGATTTATTTTACAAGTGCAATCTTGGTTTAACTACACTTAAAAATGGAATCGTCCTGAAGTTTTTGTTTCCACTTAATTTGTTTGCGAAATCATCAGTCGTTTTCTGTACTTCATTTATCGGCGATGGTGCCTCAGAGAAGGTTGAAAGGAAACTTTGCTTGAGTTTATAACTCCATTAACCAGATCTTTTCATCAATTTATGAAGTAAGTTTTCGATATCCATCTCGCAAAATGATGACCAGGAACATCCCGTACGTGAGTAGCATCGTGGACACCTCGATATCGGAACCGGCCGCGGGTGATCTTGTACTCTCGAGGAGTCCCGGTGATTCGACCCTGACGTCGAAGCTCTCTTTCGATTACTCTTTCCTCCCGGAAAACTACACCATTGACTACGGCGCAAGCAGTTCCTACTTCTCATGGTTGAACGAGACACCGGGATTCCAATGCGATATTTTCCCGCAGACTGTCGGCACCAAAGCCTTCCTCGGCATCGTCTTCGCCCTCGTCACCATCGTCTGTGGCCCTGGCAACTGCCTTCTCTGCTTCCTCATCGCAAGACACAAGCGACTTCGGAGCGTCACCAACCTCCTCATCGCAAACCTGGCGTTCTCGGACGCTTTGGTCGCTCTCATTTGTGCGCCGTTTTCCTTACAATATTACCTTGCTCAGAGCTGGATCCTTCCCGACTTCATGTGCCCGTTGATGGCGATGACGAAGAACGTTTCTCTCTACGTGTCCGTCAACACCCTTCTCGTAATTGCGGTCGACAGGTAAGTCCTTACGCATCCACTGATTCCCCCAAGACTTCATTGACTCACTTGTCCTTCCCGTACACCTCTCAATAATTCCCAACCGTAATATGAACCAATTTCCACCGTTAGACCCATTTTTGTCTTTTATAACTTCCCTGAACCGAGTATACCACACGCTAGTTCCTGTTTCTATGAGAATACAAGTCAATGAACAAGTAGCATTCTTTTTTCTTTACTTTGACAACGATTCGACTTCATTGTCAAAAATGGTATATCAATATGTTACCATTTCCCATTAATTAACTTTTAAAATATGTCGACTCATTTAGCCTACTTTAACGTTTCAATCTATTTTACAAGTATGTATGTACTAATCACTATGTTTGATCATATTATAAGGTTAATGACTCCCAGTGATGAATATATTCTTTATCCCACATTGCTGTCAATCTTGCCATTGACTCTTCATACCAAACAAGTACAATCATTTCATGGCAGCTTTGTTTTCTTACAGTACCGATTTCCAAATGGAATGTCAAGTTCCTCACAGGTTCCTCATTAAACATTTTCTCATCTTCACAGTCATGTCAAGCTAGCATTTGATTCGATTTTAGACGCTCGCGTTTGGAAGTTGTATCAAATCTTGCCTCCGCTACCGATAATGTTCCACGCATACAGAACTTAAGGTGCCGGTAATATATTTAAGAACCCATGCTTAACGGTGTCTGGGCCGCGTCTCCAAGCTCAATAACGAGCTCTCGTGATGAGTGGATGAGATGACGGGATGAGGAGGGGTGAGGGTGTTGAAAAGTACACGCCTCCCCCATTCCTGGTTAGTAGAAGACCTGATTAAGGGTGGATCTGTCGGGTTAGTTCGGGGGATTCTGAGGTCAGATCCTTGACTTGTTGAAGGAAAATAAGTGACATCCTCCGTGAAGGACGTGCGAAGTAGCATTTAAGCATTATCTGATATCGTGTTATGTTTAAAAGTCATTCAACGTTTCCACACCCACCCCAATGATAGTGTGTGTAGTATACTCATGAAATTGTGTATTAACGAATAATTAGGAGATTTAGAATGTTGTAAATCATGTTAGAATCTAGATTTACTGCTATAGGTTATGTGTGAGCAGCAGCTAGGGTGAACGTCTTATAGATGAGATACTTCATTGGTGGAAATAGAGGGGTTTTGCTTCGTACAAGAGCTGCATCTACCACAAATTGTAAAAGAGGAGAAAGTTTTCCAATAAGGAGGAGGAAGGGGGGGGGTAATAAAGAGAGGTGTGTTAAAATGGTAGATAAAGGGTAGGTAGGCATTGGAATGAATCAGAGAGCAAGAGAAATGATAAGGAGGGTGGGGACATAGAGAAGAGTAGAAAGAGATGGACAGATAGCAGAGGGTAAAGGAGATAAGTAAACATAAAAAGCGATATATAATGGGGAAGAGGGAAAGGAAGAGAGTAGGAGGGAGAGAAAGATATGGGCGAAGGGAGGAAAGAAGGTAGGAGTGAGAGATAGAGAGAGAGGGGGCAAAGAGAATAATGAAAAGAAATTGATATAGACAACGAAAAATGAAAAAAAAAATACAATCACGTACTTTGTTTAAATAGAAAGGAGGAGTGGTGAAAATCAGTGCCCAACCCTTCTGATATACCCGACCATCTTACATCAGTGTTCAGAAAATGAAGACGAGCCACGGTCAAAGTTCAGAAGTGGAAGAAGGGTTTGGCTGAGATATCATTCCTCTGTCACTGTGACACTTCTTCAATTCATAGACAGGCCCAATGACAGGCCATATCTTTATTATACCGCTTCATAACAATCTTGTTATTCATTGACAGTGGCGTAGCCCCATGAAGCAAGAGGGCACCTGCCCCTCCCATTATATTACAGGAAGAGGAAAGAAAAAGAGGGGGGTAGTAGAAAAAGAGGAGAGGGGATGAATGGAAAGACAGCCATGAGAGAGGGGTACATAGAGATACAAGACAAAGGGATAGAGGGATGGAAAGAAAGTAGAGAGGAGAGAGAGAAGAAGAAGAAGGGGGTACGGAATGAGAGAAAGAGAGAGAGAGAGATGAACATGAAATGATCGAAAAGGAATTATTTCTTACCCTGTAAAGCATTCTTTTCTACTCTCTTGCACCCTATCCAACTTGTAGGACCAGTGGTTGGCTTACCACTCGCTAATAAAGTCACCCCTTTGCATTGGTATTCAATCAACCAATTTCCCAATTCCTACGGGGAAAACTTCCCCGAATGCAAAAGACAGTGGTAACTTTTGCAATCTTTACAATGTCCAAGAATAGCTATATCTCACTAAAATACAAATAACCCGATCAATAATCAATATTTTGAAAAGCCAGTGAAGGGATTTTGTGTCTTTCCACGGGGATGGAGATGTTTGATTCTAGGCACGTAACCCATAGCAACCCATTGATTTGATATAGAAATGGAAAGCAGGAAAAGGTCTTGAAAACTTTTAAGGTAAGAGAAGCGATCTCGCAGAAAAATGATTTCCTCCGCGTCCTAATCTTCAATTTTTAAAGGAATTTTGTATTATAAAATCCACAAATTGAAGGGGAGAAGTAGAAATACCCCCACGCAATCCGAGGTTTATGTTTCGAACCTCTCTTAGTGTGGTTTGCTAATATATGGCGCACTTTATATCCAGTCGCCTCTCTTAACCCATGAGTAGGTAGTGGTTAACAGGGGGGATTTAATTACTTGAATCTCAATTTGTGTTAAAAACGACTGCTGTTAAAATTCATGATATCCAAAGCATTTTTGAACCGCTAGGAGAGGCAATTTTCCAAAATGGAAGCAATTATCACCAGCCTCAAATGCAAATGGATACATACATTGTTTTTCTGGCTTCAGTATTGACGGGGTTAAAGAAAATCATTAACTCGACTTTTGCATTCTTAGTGACATAATGATGAATGCGAGAGTGTCGTGCAAATAGAGGATAGAGAGTGCAAAAGATTGGAATCTTTCAAAAGCTTCTCTTCCACCAAAAGCTGCTGGGATCTATTCCAAATTACAGTGGAAATGCACGAAATCTTTGAAACGAAATACATTCATCACCATACTAGATTTGATGTGGACTCGTCCAAACGTTTGCATATATCCTTTCAAGTATACCTTTTAAAGGCTCTACTTGAATTACAAATACCTCGGCTCAAAATCATTCCTATGTGTTATCATGGTCATTGGCAGATTTACATAGCATTATAATCAAACAACTGCCCAGTTAATTTTTGTTGCTATCTAAAAGATGAAATTGTTTGTATCTGGAGTTCATTTTATTTTATGATTTCTTTACAGGTTCACAAACTTTCGAATGGTATAAAAATTAAATGCAATTTATCTTTACATTTAATTTAAGTGCACTATTTAAGGACATACGCTAAAAGATAATCATGTTTTGCTACAAATGTACATGTATTATGTTCCTTTCTAACATTTGAGAGTATAATAGGCTTACAGAGTATACACACGAATGGACTTTAACAGATAGGCTCATAACTTTGTTCATGATGTAAGTAAATCTAGTCGTAGGTCTAACCATTTACCACATTTAACATATTTAAGAGGTATTTGAATTCGTGTATAAAAATAATATTGAAAATGAATTGTACTGTTCTGTTTAATTTCCAATATTTTTAATACACTTATCATAACCATAATGAAAAACATCTGGTTTTGCGATGTTTCCTTGAAATAAGTATGCAGAAATAATCTTTCTATTTTTGAATATGCATCGGGTAATCCAGCACTGCCTAACCCATTAACAATGAAGGCCAAAATACCATAAGGCTTGACCAGTGACGTTTAGAGCACTGCCAATGAAAGGTTAATAGCCATGCAATATTGTATTGTTTGTGAGTGAGTGGGCGTGGCATCGGACTTGTTTTGGGGGTTGGGTTTCCAAGGGGTTGCCGGGTCACGTGATCGCGTAATGTAACTGGGTTGCTTTTCAGGAAAACTATAGGATGTGTAATATAGCCTGATGCTTATGGGCGTATACTTACAGAGGTGTTGCTAGATCTTTAGTTAAAGGGAGGGATCATCGTGATATATGCAACATGTCCTTTCAGAAGACCCATCGAGTTAACCTGTTCTTCATTTCGAATATTCATTACCCCCCAAAAAAACTTTCATTTAATATGTTTAATGCCTTAGCTAAAGTAGGGTTGGAAGAAGGTTTAGATTCTTTCCGTCACCTTACCCCGCCCCTCTTTGATCTTTGAGAGATACTAATTCTATAAGAATGGCGAGCGATTCTAGCAAGGGTTAAATCCCAATTGGTGTAGATGATGATTATCATCAACGATCCAGTAATTGTGTAAAAAGAAAGGGCACTTTTAAAAGACTATTGAAGGTAATTATTTGATTCATGTTAATATTCGGGTTGCTTGCTATTTATAGTCACTTGTAAGGCACAACTATGTGAAATTTGCATAATTATGTATTTATGCTTCAATACTTTATTGATAAATGTGTGTATCATATCCAAATAAAAAAACATCTCGATATTACGAATGGCATTGCAAAGAGACTGACATAATCGACGTACATGACATATCTCTCGCCCACCACCCTGGTTTATGAATGGTGTTAAACTGGCACGGACTCATCAACGCGATTAAAGCCTTGTGATTTGTCGTAGTGCCCTTTACATTTACGTCATCCGAATCATTATATCATTGCACCGATTACTGTGACATTAATTGATAATTAAAATACTATCTCTGTTAAAGGGCAGCTCCTGTTTGGTCAAAAGATGATGGTAATATCATCTTACACCTGTTGGTATCATACGCTAAGTTTATACGAAGTGTGTCAAATTTTGTGAGAATCTGCGTTCTCATAATATCATTCACTTGGTCACGTGGTCACTTGGTAAGATCTCTTGACTCATACGAGAGGTCCGAGGTTCGATCCTTGCTCGGTGATGTTTTTACTTAGACAGGGTGTTTTATCCACATTGTCCGTCTCGACCCAGGTGTATTAAGTTGGTAT